CTTTCTAGTTATTTAGACCCAAAATCTGGAAGCCATATTTGACTCATTTTCTCATACTGTGCTTTCAGTAACACAGTGATTCCATCTTCCACAGAGATCCAGATGCTGATCATCTTGTCCCATGGTCACTGCTACCACCCTTGTATGCCACATCTCAAGTGGATCAATATGAAATCTCCTGATTTTCCTCTTTTTTACCCTTGCTATTTTTGTTCTTCAGCCAACAGTCAGAGTGACTCCTAAGTCAGGTTAGCATGTCAGATCAGTGCTCAAAACACCCCAATAGATTCCTGTTGCAGAATAAAAATGTCCTCATATATGATACACCCCCCCTTCCTTCTCAGCTTCTAGAATCTTTCCTTGTTCTCTCTTCAAGCCACAGCAGTCTTCTTTCTGTTCCTGCAAAAAGCCAGATGTGGTCATACCTTTTCAATGACTCTCTATCTGGACTGTCTAAACTCAGATGTCCACCTGGGTTGCTTGCTCCCTCTTTTGTATCTTCACCCAAGTATCCCCTTCTCTGACCACTCTTTGCATCTCTACCTGCAATATCTCTTTCCCCTCCCTTGCTTAATTTTCACCTTAGTACTCATCATGCTCTCTCATACTATATAATTTATTTATTTTATTGTCTTTCTGCCCCCTTAGAATGAAAGCTCCATGATGTCAGGGATTTTTGTATTACTTTTTACAGATGCAGTCTCAGTGCTGGCACATTATTGATTGTTTAATAAAAAATTGTTGGATAAATTAATGAATTAAGTTTAATGCCTATATAAAGACCAAATGGAAGTGTAAGTCTCTTCTAAATTCCGAAGATGTAATTTGATAATATATATCAGAAGTCTTAAGTACTCAATTATTTCACTCCTAGAAATTCATCAGTACAGGTTTTCCCTAGTTAGTATAAGGGAAACATTGTTCCAGAGTATTAAGAAGTACATGGGGAAGAAAGAGAAAGAAAATTCTGAGAAAACAAATTGCTTTACTGCTGTAGTTCTCAGAGTTAGTTACACTATAAATTACCTAGGGAACTTTAAAATATGTTAATGCCTGTGTCCCACCTTGAGGGATTCTGATTTAATTGGTTGAACTGGTTGTCTCTCTTTTTGTGATATTAGCGGCCTTTGGTGATTATGACTGAGATCCATTAGTTCATTAGGAGACGAAGGTGGTAATCCTGTTATCTCCCAGTTTGTGTTCTTTAATACACAAAATGAAGGATTCAAGTAAGTACTTTATCTGTAAGCATCCTTCCACCTGGGACACACTTTGTTCATATAAGAAATGCTCTTAATTAGCGGTTTGTGTGGAAACATGTATTGTTTCTTCCTGGTAATTTACGTGCGTGTGTGTGTGTGTGTGTGTGTGTGTGTGTGTGTGTGTGKGAGAGAGAGAGAGAGAGAGAGAGAGAGAGAGAGAGAGAGAGAGAGAGAGAAAGAGAGAGAGCGAGAGCGAGCTTGCTAATGCTCCAAATTAAGAGAGCATCTATTTTTACTATAGAGAAACTATGATAGTAAGTCAGAATTCTGTATAGTTCTCAAGTCCACTCTAACATGTGTCAGGCATGATGATAGGGTCTCTCACTTACTTTTTGTAGGGCCTGTTAAAAGAGTAGGGCTCTGAGACCATGCAAGCTAGATTTATACACTGTTTTCTTCATTCATTCATCTGTTCATTCCCAGTGTTCTGGGAACATCAGCAAACACTAATAACTTTTTTTGAAGCATCTAGTTACATACAGTATTCTTAGAATTCTGTAGGACTTTTTATTCTGCAAAAACCTTTACTGCTCAGTTTGTATATGTGATATATTGGATTTTCTACAATATCCATTAAAGTATGAGGACCATGATATCTGAACCAATTAAATAAATCTTCCACCATTAAAAAAAATATTTTGCCCTGTTCTGCTGGCAATATTTTTATTTTTTCATAAATGATAAATTTGAGCAACTTTTTAGAAGTATGGTACATTTGTAAGAAGCTTTTGAGAATGTAGAAGCCTCTGTCATTAAAAAGATAATCAGTTGATTTGAATTAATCTGTTTAGGGATTAAGAGAAACTACAAAGTTATTTCTCACAAGTAGATTCCACTGCCTCCACACAGTCAGACACCGGGGATCACGTTACTGCATTTGTCATGGTGATTTACAAAATCTTTGAGAAATTAAATTACCCTTTTAGACAATCAAAGAAGGGACATGTTAGGACAAATAACTTGTTTTTAGAAAAAGTTATATGTACCAGTTAATTTAAAATCATACCTCCATAACCCACTATAAAATTAGAACAATCATTTTACATATTAAGTAACATATTAAGTGGTAAGTGCTTGTAAGTATAATAGGCCTGGCACAGAGCAGATGCTCAGGGTGTGTCAGCATTGATCATTCTGATTTGTGTAGCTACTACTGCATTTGTAATTAAACATTATTTCTGAGTCTTTTGGTTAAATCTTTTAAAGAAAATTAAGACTTTTTTTTTTACCTTGCCAATTATGTTACAAAGTGGATTATTTATGTAACATGAGAACACTGAGGTTCTTCTAAATTTTTTTTTATTCTTAGTTTCGCCACACTAACCATCTATTATCAAACAGTCCTTGTTGAGCTGTTTTTTTTTTTTTTTTATGTTGTAATAGTTTTAGTTCTTTTTTTGTTGGTAGTGGTGGTGGTGGTTGTTATTTTATTTTTTTGCTTTTTTATTTTATTTTATTTTATATTATTTAGTACTGGGGATTGAACCCAGGGTGCTTTACCACTAAGCTACATACCCAGTTCTTTTTTGGGGACAGAGTCTTGCTAAGTTGCTAAGGCTGGCTGGCTTTGAACTTCCAATCCTCCTGCCTGCAGCCTCCTGAGTCCCTTGGGAATACAGGCATGCACTACCATGCCCATTTCTTGTAATTGTTTTACATAAATGGGTAGTGCCACGTGGGAATGGATTTTAATAATGCCAGAAACTAAAACCTGTGAGTATAGGTAGTGGGTGCTGGACACAATTTACATGAAACCTTTATCAATGAGGACTTTTATCAATGAGATATTGAAAACCTTTTAATACAGAATTCTAGTGGATGCTTTTCTGTATCATACTGAGTCTTACTAAGCATTCCTTCATGAAAATTTATGGTGTTGAGTTTCTGGGCACGAAGTAGAAGAGGTCATCATTTTAGAATAAGTTTATATTTGGCTGTGAAAAACAAAGAAGGTCCAAAGAACACACAAGCTTTAGAAGGCAGAAGACCAGAAGACTGTGAAGTAATTGTGTGAATATCCTAAAAAATCAGCAATATAATAATTATTACCTAACTGGGTGCACTGAGTGGCAGATCTCCTTGTTTATGTAATTGAACGTTAATATTGGGAAAGGTTGTTTGCCTAGTGATTGTTCTTCACATCCCCTTTCTCTTTTCACTAACCATCACCTTTGGGGAGTGATTTGGGAGTAGTTGAAACCAACTAACCTGACTTAAAAAGTTCCAATACTGCCTGCACTATCTTGTTTCTCAAAGCTGTCTTTAGTTTTGGTAAATGAAAAAGCATATGGTTGCCATTTCCTTTCTGAGAACTGCTGAGTTACTAGGGAAGGAAGTAGGAGATGTTCAGCTGAGCTGTATAGTGGGGGAGGGAGATTTGGGAAGGGCTGGGCCAGCAAAAGCAGAGCACTAGCTTCTGCTTTTGCTGGGCTTGGTTTCCTAAGTGTCTGCTTCCTCTTTATAAAATGTCAACATAATTAGTCTGAGCAACCCTACATAATCTCCTCTTTCTGGGGGTAAATAACTGAGAATTTCGGGAGTGGCTAACTTTCTTTGCCAAAAACTTGGCCACAAATCTACTTAACATTCTTAATTGGTTTCCTGTTTGTATCTTTTTAAGAACTCATCAAACTTTTTTTTTAAAGTTCTGATTTAAATATTGCTCATATGAGAGTGTTTTGCCTGCATTAAAAATAAGCTTTGAGGAATATCTGATTGAAGTGTCTGTCAGATAACCATGGTGAATAGGAAGTTCTTTTCTGGATTTGGAGTCTGGGGGAGACCTGAGGTTGGACCCTAGTTCTGCCATTAACTGGCATGTTTTCATTTGATGTAGAAATCATGCTCATCATATTATTTTACACCACTTTCCAATATTACATCATTGTCTTTGGCACTCTGAGCCCTTTTGTCTGTGAACTGGAAGCTTCTGCTTCTTTAGAAAAAAATCTTGACTCTCTTACTAATGTTGTGATTATTTTTGAAACTTTTTTTAGGGTAATAATATAGCTATTCTTGCAGATAATCAGAAAGGAGAAAAAACTTGCATGCTTCTTACATACAAATTCTTTGACATGCCTCCCAACATTTCTAGTTAACTAGATGCTTATTTTTTTAAGAATTAATTTTTAGTTGTCCTTTTGCTACCACATCATTTCTTCCTTCGTTTTACATAATCCCACCACCGAACTTTAAATATAAAAATATTTCTTAGCGGGAGACCTCTGGAGTAAAGATTGCCTACATTCAGAACCCAGTTTGATCATTCTCCAGCTATGTGGTTTCTGGTGAGTTTTCTCATCCTTAAAATGGGGATTAAAATTAGCACTCCCTACAAAGGACCCATGAAAAGATCAGTGTTAAGCGATTACTCTTTCCTTTAATAATAGAAAATTGGCTACTAGAAAATATTGAGTATCCATCAACCATTTGCTAGACACCAGTTAAATGTTTTACTGATCCTATTTCATCCTCTATGAGGTAGGGATCCCAGGTCTGTTTTTCTGATGATTAAATTATGGACCAAAGGTCACACAACTGGTAAACAGTTCAAGGCCAGGTTTGTTTCTAAAGCACATTTTTTTCTTTCTTCAGGTTATGTTTCAGGGTTTCCCGACGCTGATATATGATTACTTTTGATTGTATAAAAACAAGTATAAATTAAAAGAAAAGGCAAATGACGAAGGAAACCTGTCTGCAAAGATATTTAACTGCTTGTCTATCTTCTTTGTTTTGTAGAGTGAAAAGTGGAAGACCAGGTGGGATGGTCTGTGTTGAAGACTTGCCTGTTGAGCTGCCTGGATGATCTTCATCAAACAACCCTCATCTTTCTGGATCCCAGTTTAAATATGCTTAAAATGGTGAAGCTGAGCTGATCTCCAATTTCCCTTCTGGTCTGAAAACTCCAATGTTACAACCATGAAACCATTCACCATCCCAGCCCGTTTTTCCTTGATCCTGAACACAGCTAACCATGCCAGAGCTCTGTTCTAATTTAATTGCATACTTTTGCACCTGCTGAATCCTAAACTCAATCGTTCCCGTGACCGCAGGACCAAAGGGCATGGGTTGGGGACAGAACGCTGAGTGGCAAGGAGAAAAAGGGAAGAAGACCCTGACGTTGGCCAGCTGGTAGTAAAAGCCTGCAGCAGGAAAGTTAACCAGGGAAGAATTGACGTTGCGCAGCGACGGAGGGCGGGAACGAAAGCGGATTGGCAGGCTGGGGGCGGGGCCAGCACTGACAGCCCCGGGGGAGGAGCTAAGGAAGCTGCGTGGGCGTCGTTGGTTCCTTTCCATCCCTTGGTTTCCCCGACCCTGCGCCACGCGGGCGTGGTGGCGGGCGTGCCGACGCCGTTTGACGTCACAAGGGGCGTGGCTGCCTGGTAGTCCACCGGTGCGCGGGCGCGTTCGGCAGTCGCAGTTTGGGACGCGGGGCGTGCGGTTGCAGTTTTCTTTCCCGTTTTGCTGTCACAGCCGATCCCTTCTCGAGTCCAGGATAGACTGGGCGCGCGCCCGCGTGTGTGTGAGCGGGACTCAGGGCAGAGGTGTCCCCTCGCTGTCTTTTTTTTTTTTTTAATTCCTTTTATCCAAAGAAGGCAGTTCTTACCTTTGCCTCCCGGTCACCCATTTGGGAGCCCGGCTGGCGTGCGGAGTGGTTCGGGTTTTCTTTTTGTTTTCTTTTTTCTTTCTTTTAATTTTGAACTTGTGAGCGCTCTCCCCCTCCTTTTTACCCCCTCTTCCCCTCCCCCCAATTTGGGCTCAGTGCCGCCAGCGCTGGTTTCCTTGAATAACCGCTTTCTGCCCATTCTCTGGCAACCCCAGCCTCAGTTTGTTCCTCCGCCCTCGCCCCTGGCCCGGGAGGGTGGGAAGCCTTGTCCCCGCCCTTCCCGTCTCGGCAGCGGTAGCCGCACCTGCTCAATATGAATGGGGTCAACGACCCACCTCTTTTTATAAAAGATATTAAGCCCGGACTGAAAAACTTAAATGTCGTCTTTATTGTCCTGGAGATAGGTAAGTGGGGTCTGCAGCCCACCCCACCGCCCCATGTGCGCCCCGGGTTCGGAGGGAAGGACGCCGCCGGCGCGAGCCGGGGCTCCCCTCCCCCCTGCCCGTCCTCTCCGATCCCCTCCCCCACCCACGTGGTCCCAGTGGCCCCCCGCCGGCGCTCGGATCCCACAGCGGTGTGAAGCCAGGGCTTGGCCTCTCCTCTTTCCAAAAGTATTAAAATACGGAGGAGGAATAGCTTCTTCCTCGTTAATCTAATACGCCCCTCTCCCTTTTGATTTTTAAATCTTCACAGGACGCGTGACCAAAACCAAAGACGGCCATGAAGTCAGATCGTGCAAAGTAGCAGATAAAACGGGCAGCATCACTATTTCCGTGTGGGATGAGATTGGAGGTCTCATACAGCCAGGGGATATTATTCGGTTGACCCGAGGGTAGGTGTGTAAAAGAGGGTGGGGGGCCGCGGAGCCTAACAGTGCAGAGTCTGGATTGGCTGGCTCCCGGGATCCTGCCAAGTACTGAAGTTCCATACCTTTTCTGTGGGCCGCTCCAAAGTTTTGAGCCCCTTTGGTGTTAATATTAATGAGCTGCGTTGGAATGCAGCCCAACCTTGCAGGTAAACTCGGTAGGTTTCAGACAGGAAATTCATTTCCTCTCCCTCCAATTTACAGGGTAGTTATGTTTTAAAATACTGGCCTTGGAGTCATTGAGTCTTTCTAGTAGATTGGTATAGTCCATGATCTTTTCTAAACCTTTAATTGAGTATATTTAGTTCATTTCTATCTCTCCTTTTTTAATGACTTGAAATCCTTCCAATAGTTTTTTTTTTTAATACTTATTTTTGTGGACAGAAAACTAATTGGAAGATTTAGTATTTTCTGTGGTACAAATTTGTACTCAGAAATTAGACAATGTCTGGAAGCCTCATTCTGTAAAATGATTTTTTCTGTTTTCTGTCGTAAGGTCAATGTGGTAAGGCCAAAATGATAAGAAAAAGTTTGGCAGAAAGACTTCTATGATACCTTCATTCAGAAGATTCAGGTGGCAAATTGGTGGTTTTAAAAAACAATTTAGTACTTTTTTTTTTTTTTTTTTGGATAGACTAAGTTAAAAATTTTGCCAAATCTTTATCTTAAGACAAAAGGCCAGGAAAGTGTCTTGAAAACAGAAGCTGGGAACTTTTTTGATCAATAGAATTGTAATAACTACAGGAAAAGTTGGTGGAGATTGATGTTGGTTAGTAAGTAGAATCCAAGGAAATATTTGAGTGCCCTGGGTGTAGGAGCTTAGAGCTCTTTGATACTATCTTATAGGTCTTACAACATCTTCAGGAAGTGAGGTAGAGTATCATCAAAGCAGGAAATGAGAGTCAGGACTTAGACATTTTATTCTCAGAACACTGACTCATTATGACACTAATTATGTTTTTTAAACTTCCACATCCTCAATTTACACAAAAGAAAATTCCTACCTGGGAGAGTGTGGTAAGGATTAGCTTAATTGAAGTTTTTTGACCCCCCAGAATATCCTTTTTCCAGTGATTAAAACTACTTTATACAAAAAACAGTATCTCTTTTCAAGTATTTCCTATACTGTAGTCAGTCATGATGTTTCCATCTAAACATTTGTCAAAAAAGCTAAAACTCATTAGTATACTATTTAAGGGGCCCAATGGCTAAGAAGTACAATTTATTTATTTTTGATGCTGGGGATTCAACCCAGGGACACTTAACCACCAAGCCATATCCCCAGCCCTTTGTATTTTTTATTTATAGAGATAGTCTCTTGCTAAATGCTGAGGCTAGCCCCAAATTTACAATCCAGCCTCAACCTATCTAGCCACTGGGATTATAGCTATATGCCACTGTGCTGGCTAAGGAGTACAATTTAAAGGAAAATTCAAAACTAAAGAAGTTCTCTTTACCACTTCATTGGGAACTCTTCATCTTATGGAGGTAGAAGAAAAGCAGTTAAAATTTGGCTATACCATGACAATAAGTGTAAAAGGAAACATGGGGTGTTAACTTTTTACATCTTGTGGCTGAAAATAATAAAAATAACTTTATACACACACATATAATACAAAGTTGTAGATAGACACAACACCTTAATTGTATTTATTTTTATGAGGTGCTGAGAATCAAGCCCAGTGCCTCACACGAATGAGGCAAGTGCTCCACCACTGAGCCACAATCCCAACCCCTAAAAATAACTTCTGCTTAAATATCTGCAATTAAAAGCTTTTCCTATATTAACTGACTAAAGATGTAATCATCTGGGGCATAACAATGCTTGCTTTGCTAAAGGAAGTTTTCTTTCATTTCTGGGTTGAACTTAAGTAATTGTGTCACATTTTGGTGATATAATTTTCTTTGTATTTTTTAGTAAGTAGCAAGTTAATGTTAGAATTGTATTTGATTTACAGAGGGCTTGATTTCCACTTCTATCCCAATACAAAATACACAGTGTAAAGGTTTATTTGACTTACATAGACTGAAATATACATATTTCTAAAGAATTAACGTTTCTTTTTAGATACGCATCCATGTGGAAAGGATGTCTGACACTTTATACTGGAAGGGGTGGTGAACTTCAAAAAATTGGAGAGTAAGTATTAAAATGCATTTTTGTACAATTGAATAAATCACAAATGTTTACAGAATAATTGGTAGGTATAAACTATAAATCACTAAATTGGCTTTTTTTGATGGATACTAGTTTTAACAACTATTAGTATAGTATCCTATGTTGAGGATATCCATTTTCCTGGCAGATAGCAGTAAGAGCGGCAATTCATACCAGCCTCAGTGGGGCTATTTCTGGTAGGTTTTAGAAGCACGCATCTTTTAGGTGTCATTTGAATTTAATTCCCTCTTCTAGTGATTCATGAAAAATAGAGCAAGGCATGAATTTCTGGCCATGAGTTTACATGTTCTTTTTCTTTTTGTGTATGGGTGAATTTGTACTCATGGTAAAAGGACTTGCAGCAATGAAAACTGAAGTCCTCTATTTATCTACAGCCTAGGTGTGGTGCAGGCAGCCGCAATGCGAGCTTCCATACACTGCTACCCTGGTAATGATCTCCACCCAGACCTGGAGAAACCATCCTCTCTAGGGGTGTAAAGGTAATTCAGCCTCCATGTTAGCCTAGTCATTTGGCTTGTGCTCTTAAAATATGGTACAGGCAGTGAGCCAGATCTTTTTTCCACTCTATTGCTTAAACATCTTCTTAATGTCCATTAAATTGGAGGATATTTAGAGAGAAGTCATAAATGGCACCAAAAAGAAAAAACTCAACACTGAGAGGATGAGGTACTTTGTTGGGAGAAAATTGTTAATGATGAAAATGAGCTTACAAGCTTTTTTAAAGATCAGAGACTGAAGTAACACTTTGTCTTTGCTAGAGGAAAAAATTTGGATCCACTCATGTTTATATGTAGAGTGGTATATTATTAGCACTAAGTATTATGAAAGGTTTTAGGGTCAGTATTACCAAACCTGTCCTGACCTTCATGTATGCAGAGGTATTTACAATAATGTTTGATGGTTGGTTAAATGAAGAATCACAGGAGGTCACTTAATTTCTTATGACTGCTCTTTGTCAGGGTCAGTTTAGGATTACCTAAAATGGATTCTAGTTTCTTTTTAGTGGGTTAAGGAACTAAGAAAATACATATTTGTCAGTTAGTTCATATCATGTAGTCACCACAAGCTCCGATATAAACTGGTGGCTTAATATAGCCAGTTATCTGTCCTTATCACCCAGGATCCACTCTTAACCTTGGATGATTATCTTTGCAGATTCGAAGTGATTGGTCAAAAGAGGGACTGGATGAGAGTGTGTGAATGGATCAGTGCAAATCCATCACCACTGCTGGAGAAACCACTCTGGAACCCTAAACACAGTTCACTAGCATCAGCCTGTCTGGAAAAATTGGACACAGATTTGTTTTTGTGTCCAAAAATCCTTTGACATGGTTTTCTTTTTTTTTTCAGTATAGAAGAATTTAAATATGAAATAGAATGTTTTATGTGTTGTAGATAGTTGGATATTTGATGTTTAGTGGGACATACTGATTTTAGAGACTTTGGTTATAATGAATAGCATTAGTTATCATTTTGTTATTCATTTGACACCTAAATTTTTCATTACCAAACCTTAGGAATATTAAGGAAAGGTTGATTAATTTCAGAAGTCTATTTAACTTGTCCTTTATTTTCTTTCAGATTTTGTATGGTTTATTCAGAAGTGCCAAATTTCAGTGAGCCCAACCCAGATTATCGAGGACCGCAGAACAAAGGGGTAATTAATCCAAATATAGAGTGCATTTTTATGATTGGGCTAATATGACTGTGAACTATAGTTCTGTACTGAGGCTAATCCTGTGATACCCTGAACATAATGAAGAGAATTGTAAAAAATAATCTTTAAAGTAACTTTCATTAAAAATACTCAATGAGTCTGTTTAGGGCATAGAATATTACGGATATTTATATATATATATATGCACCATTTAGATTTTGTGGAGTGAGGAGTCATGTCAGGAAATACAGGATGTAACAGAAGCTAAAAAAAGGTTTGGGGAACATTCTTGAATCTTTTACCATTGAATGGACTTGGACAAATTTTTTAAAGAATTGTTAAAAGATAATTTTACAAAACCACTAAAACTTTAAAAAGGGTATAATAAGTTTGTAATAATGAGTGTTATTTTAATCTTCATTTGTTTAAAACTTTTTTTTTTAAGGCACACAATGAACAGAAGACTAATTCCATGAATAGTAATATAGGTACAGGTACATTTGGATCAATGGGTAAGTTTTTTTTTTTTTTTAAATTAGGTATATACATTATGGGAAGTGTGAAAGATTTAGAGGAAAAGAATATCTTTAGGCATAAGTAAGTACTAAAGGTGAACTACCAATAAAAAGGGAATCTCCAAATGTTTTCTAGAAGGCAAATAATATGTACTTGTAAGCCAATTTACTGAGCACATTCTATAAATATTTGGACCAATTTCAGGGAATATAATATTGAACATTGACTAATACAAAAGACTGGTGTATCTGTAAAGAAGTCTGATACTATTTTTCCACTTATTTTTATAAAATTTCTGTAATCTAGTTTTTTATAATAGATACAGAATTAGTGGTTATGTTGGTACATTGAAAGCTGATAATCATATTAATAGTTCTGAAAAGTAATAGTAAATTAACACCTTAAATTTTCATATATAATTATTAACTGCCTTTTTGAAAGATTGGCCTTTATCCTAACAGGTCCTTGTAACCCCTGTTAAAGGTTTTAAAGGTTTTTTTTTTTTTTTTTTTTCCAAGTCTTTATTAAGGAAAAGTCATTAGATTTCATTAGAATAAATGATACTTTATTTGACCTGATTGCATATTTTGGCACAACTGATCATCACACTGTGCTGTCTAAAAAAGGATTACGTTGTCTGTTTTGAAAAATTAACCATATTTGAGCAAAAATGTTGGTACTCAACATTTTTTGCTTTTTTTTTTTTTTTTAGTATAAGCAGTGCATGTGTTTTCCTGTTCCTTTTCTAATCTTGTTGCCCAAATTGGCTTTTTTCCACTACTAACACAATATCAAGTTAATGTATTTATAGTACTAATACATTGTAAAAACCTAAAACTAGCATTTTTTTCCAGTGTAAAAATAAGTTTGTTTTCCCTAATATTTAAAAGCATTAATAGATATATTGGAACTTAAAATATGTGTTGTTACATAGATTATTATAGACCTCTTCTGAAGATAGTGATGATTTTTTGTATTCTTTTTTAGGAAATAGCCTTCAAACTGGCCCTGAATCAAGGGGATACCAACTTTCATATGCTGGTAGAAGCAATGTCCGGGGACCTATCAATACACAGCTACCAGGAGCTGCTAATAATCAAACAGTCATGACCACAATAAGTAATGGCAGGGACCCTCGGAGAGCCTTTAAAAGATGACCTATGCCAAATAGTCACATGTAGTTTTTAAACTACGTGCCCTACTTGAACACTTAGTGCACTTTTATTTATTGTTAACTGTGAAAAATATGTCCTTTATTGGTTTCCTTTTATGTTTTTGGTTTGTTTAGAAGAGTGGTTTTTTTTATAGCAAAACTGTTAAGCTGCTCAAGACTCCTGTTGAATGGGAACACTGAAAAGTAGGGGCATATATTTTTAGAGCAAAAAAGTTATTGGATATCCTCTAAAAATTGCACCCATTTCAAGGGTGAGTTATTTAAAACAGCAGCTTTATAGCCTCTATGAGTCTTCTGTATGAATTTTGTAATATTTCACATAAGGCTTAATGGGAGATGTTCTTTGTCGTAAATTCAGATATTGCCAACTAAAGCAATAACCACCAACAAAACAAAACAGAAACTTGGTCAATGCCAACAATAGTTTTTGAGTGTTTGTTACTCCAAGAATGAATGATTTTGTTGAGTGACTACCATTAAGATTTCCCAAGAAATGAATCATCTTAAATGAATCATCCTAAATTGTTTCATTACCAAAAAAGATTATCAGAATTATGGAACAGAATGCAATCTGTATTGTAATATGTAAGTTTTAGAGGAAAGCTACTTTGCTTTATTTTCAGATAGTGCTCTTAACATTTGTTATTAGCGTGGATTTTGAAAGAAAATTTTAAGAGGCCTTGAATATTTATTTTTGAATCTACCATGTTAAATATTGATGTTTAATTTGAGAGAGTTATAAAGTCATAATAAACATTGATTAATTATTTTTAAAAATAATTTTGGTGAATGTAGTGAAGGTGATTCAAATTGAATTCATATATTAATATGCAGTCTTAAGTTATAGATCCTAGGTATTTACAGGTACTCAGCCTGAACTGAAAATCCTAGGTGGTACTTCAATTTGAAGTTTGTGTGTGTTGTCAAAAGTTTCTGAATACAATTCACATAGCCTTATTAAATAGCAAAAGTTAAATGACAAAGAAGTGATTACAGCTTTATTTAGAAACGTTAAGGTGGAATTTATTTATGTGTCATAAATGGTACCCACTTCTACTTTTTACTGTAGGGTGGTTAACTGGCAAATTTTTCTTTTGTTTAGAATTTACCTCTTCTTAAATATTATCTCTTGAATAAAACTTGCGTTAATGTTAACAGATTTTGGAGTTTTGGAAAATTAAAGTACTGTCAGATGTGGGTTACTGTCTTTTCAGTCCTGCCCTCATTTTCTTATTTGTGGTGCTGGGCTAGTTATTACAGTTGAGACCTTCTCTAAGTCTTTGATTCTACAACTGTGAAAGCAAGTAAATAATAATATTTCTTTGTGTAGTTAAAGACGGCAGTGTGAGAAATTGGAATGATTTCTGCAACATAGTAAGGAGTCAAATGTTTGTCTGATCATACCTCAGGAGTACAAAAATGAAGAATTTAGAAGTATTGCTATTTAGTGTGATGAGATTAAGTAGTAACTTAAATTTTTCTTTTGTGATTGACACTGCCTCAATAATTTAACCTTGTTCTATGATTTTATTACTTATTAACAAGTTTCTTTTTTCTTAAGGGAAGCCTCCAAAACCAAAGCAAAGTGAATTACAATCCATAATGAATATTTGCCTTTCCAGTCTTCTTGGACAGCAGTCGTGAAGAAATTAAGAGGAAGAAAGTTTCTACCTTCCTTCCTGGTGCTTTCAGCTTTCAACTGTGAAATAAGTTTAAACAACACCTTGTGAAACAAAAAGCATTTAGTATAGAAATGCACTCAGCTTAGGATCAGGCCCCCTTGTCATTTCTACAGAACAAATCTGAATTGGATCAAAACCTGATCAGAGCAGGTTGTCCTTCAGGCAGGGTTGGTGGGAAGTTGCTGCAGAATAGAAACTGAAAGTTGAAATCCATGAGGTCAGATGATGATATTTAATGGTGAAGGCTAAACTTTAATAAGGTTCTCTTGTAGTGTCAAACTGTGCTTGCTTTTACACTATAGTTTTAGTAATTTTTGTTTTTAAGTTTGAAGACAGTTTGAGGATACCCTGAGTATGTGTAGTTACAAATATTTGTCACATATTTTTATTATTTAACATTTTAAATGAATGCTTAATTTGCTTGGTTGAGTAATACCAAGGAATAATGCTACAAACAAGTAGATGAAGATTAGTAAAAGGTTTTAATTTATGATACAAGAATTTAAAAGTAAGTGGAGGTGGTTAGCCTTCAAGGATGTACAATGTTGAGTTTTACATCAGTCTGAAAACACTGGCAGCCAATATTTCATATTCTGTATAAGAATCTGACAGCTTAGTTGCTTAAATGACTTCCCTTTTCAGTGTTATTAGCATAATTATTGTTGCTCCAAGCTTTTTCAGGCTGCATGTGACTCATTCTAGAGACCACAAACTGGAAAACCATGTGAAGTCATATTTGCAAAACACTTTGCCAAGCAATTGTGTTTTTTAGTCTTGGGATTCCTTGCCTTATTGCTGGGATTTTTTTTTTTTTTTTTTTTTAAGATCTAGTTTTTCTTCTCTTTGTCTCCTGTCTGGTTGGGAGTCTGAATATATCTAGTAGAAAAAGATGGTTACATTCATTCTCTAGAATGGCCAGTAAGGGGGCGTTAGAGGCAAAGGTACTTGTGTGTTGAGGTTCCAGACAATAATTACACATTAAAGTGATTAAACAGTTCCACATTTCACAAAATAGTAATGATTAACAGTTCAGGTACACTTCTGAGGAAATCTAATTATGACCTTTGGAAAGCAGCTCTTGATCGTGTGTTATATTGAAGGAGAAACAACAACAAAAAAACCATTTTACTTTCCAGATACATCTTCTGCAGATGCCTCAAATTTTGCCTAATAAGAGTGTATGAGAATTTGGATTCAGATACTGTACCCACATTATCCCAGGTTTCTGACCTAGAGGTTTATTGATGTTTCTCAAAGCACAGACTAGAGAAAAATCCAAGTCCAACTCACGTGCTAAGCCATTAATTTAGCCTTTTTCCATGTTAACCCTTAGGCTTAAAGACACTAAGAACTTTTTATCCATATTAGATAGCCAGTATGGTAGAAGAATATGAACATTTTAACACTTCAATTGGGAAGTATTTCTTGTAAACTTCATGAAAAGTCAAAGTTTTACCCACAGTTTTATTGTGGATCCTTAATTTGAGAATATAACCAACCCAAGTTAGGATGTTTTGTCATCAAAATTTGTGCATCTGCACATGGTTAATACAGTTTCTTGGTTATATTCTGAATATAGAATAACATTGAACATACTTGAATAAAACTTGGTTTCTACACCTACGAGATGCCCCAAGAAGTTGCGAGAAATATGGATTGCTCCTCTGACCTAGAATTTGCAAGTGTAGGTCTGGGAGGGAGACCTGCACTTACTCTGAAGTACTCTGCATGTCTTCTGCGCTGGGGATTTCCTCTTCACAATGAGATCACAAAAGTTTTCTCAGTTTATTTTACCTTTATGAAGCTATAGACTACTAGATTTGGGATTGTACATGGAAAATAATTAAAAGGATGTTCCTCGAAGCAAAGATTCAATGGCTGCAGCAGATAGTTCTGAGAATAAGAGGTTGAGTGGCCTCTGGATATGAGCACTGCAAATTTTTGAATTAGATTTAAAGTAGAATTAAATAACATCAATGTTAAGATCAAATCTCTACAGCAGGGTCACATGGCTTCTACTGAGCCTACATGTCAAAAAGATTTTTTTGCCCTAACCTTTGGTTAAAAACTTTAAAAAAAATTCAGTATATGTTCATGGCATCTATCTACTCTTGTCCCTTAATTCCCTATTATAAAAAAGAATTCTGACCAAACTAAAAAATAAACTGGAGCATGATATTCCTGAGAGTATCTGTAGAGCCACCCTTCTTACACCTTCAGATCTAAATCCTGTTTTGTATAGAGAAGCAGCTACAATAAATATTTTCCACAAGTAATATGCAGGGCATGATTTGCTTGCCATGTGAGGCTAATCTTAAATTTAAAACATGGCCCTAGCAGGAGACTAAGCTCTTGACATGCTGTTGGACCACTGAAAAGAAGAAAAATAGGGTAGTCTGCACTAGTGCTTCTGTTATCTGGCTTAGGGTAAACATGGAGAAAATGTTGCATTACTGTTGGATAACAGTTTTATGGTTTGAGCGTAAGGAAGAACATTGAGTGCTAGAGTGTTTAATTCTAGTTTGAGTAAACAATACTAGACATCAAGAAGTAAATTTCCCTTGAACAGATTAAGCCCTAACCTATTAATGCTATGGAAAATATTGCAAAGTTTCATACTCGTATTTGTCAGTATGACTGGTAGAAAGTGTAAACTATTTAAAACATCTTTTGAGTGGTTTAAAGAATTGAAGTAGAACATGAAACTGCCCTTATAAATTTTATTCTTTGACCCAGTGGTGTATTTATAAAATCTTGGCTAAATGCTGCTGTCATTGTAGTTGAGTAAGCTTTGCAGAACATAGCATATTTTAAATGTCAGGATATGATTTGGTGAAAAGAACATGGTTTTGAACTGAGGAGATCTGGGTTTGAGACCTGGGTCTACTGTTAACTGGCTCCATGACCAGGAGCATCATCATAAAGTTAAGATATGTACTTGCAGTGTTATGAGGACTATGTGAGACAATGTCAGTGAAGCAAGATGTCTAAGGCTCAACAAACGTTAATTCCTTTCCTCATGACCAATGGAAATGACAAGTACTGGTCATTTCTCCATGCTGTTTAGAGAATTTTTAATTTTTGAATTAATTTAGAAAATCTTTAATTTCAAATCAGGAGTGTTAAGCAATTTATATGAATTATATCTAAATTGGTTTTAAAACAGTACACCAAGGTACTCGAGTTTTACAAGTTTCTCCAGGCAAAGAAAAGCACTTATGCTGATGATTTGCCATAACAGCATGAAGGATTGAGTTTTCAATGCAAAGATCTGCCCAATAGCTGAGTAGCCAGTGCTGTATTTGCATTCACCTTTGCCCAGTGGGTGAGGACCTGATTATGAAAGTGTGGAGAAAGGGAGGCCTTCCAAGGTCTGGACTAGATAGGTCAGTGGCCTAGGAAAAGGCGGAGGGCACACTGGAAGGAAATTTCTATTCCTAGTGACATCCCTAAGGATTGCTGTGCATGCATAAGTACAGAGTAATTTTGCTTATGAAAACTAAAGCATTGGGAAACTTTCCCCAACGTTTTATGAACAATTTCAAACATGCAGTGATGTAGAAAGAATTTTAGTGTAAAACCCCTATATACTCACCACCTGGATTTTGCCATTCACATCTAACTAAATCACACATTGGTCTATCCTATATGTTCATTAATATATTTCAAGTAAACAGACAACCGTTCATATTCCTCTTTCTCAGTAGGCCTATTCATTAGAATTCAATATCTTCTTTCGGCGGCAGCAAGGTCTGTCCTTGCGGAGGACGTCGGATTTAATCGTTAATTTCAGCGCTTCCGCACTCCTTAATCTCCAACCTTCTCAATAAAATGATTTGACAACAACAAAAAAAAAAAAAAAAAAGAATTCAATATCTTTTAGTTTTTAGGGTAAAATTTACATATACATCTATTTTGCATGTTCATTTGTGAGTTTTAGGACTAAACAAGCCTTTGGAACTCAAACCCCTATCATAGAATATTACCATCCCTCTGGAAATTTCCCTCAGGTGTCTTCCCAAGTCACATGACCCCATTAGCCATCACTTCTGATACTTTAGAAACCATTTTTAGCTTAAGGGACAATTTTATGTGTCAGGTCATCTCTAGAATTCAAGTTTTTTAATTCCAGTTCCAACTCCAGTTGCCACAGAACAATCAAGCATAGCCCCTTCATCTCAGAAATGAAATTCTAAGGGCTGGGGATGTGGCTCAAGCGGTAGCGCGCTCGCCTGGCATGCGTGCCAGGGTTCGATCCTCAGCACCACATACCAACAAAGATGTTGTGTCCGCCGAGAACTAAAAAATAAATATTAAAAAATTCTCAAAAAAAAAATGAAATTCTAAGACCTTGGCATTTTCAAATTCTGTCCCTTGTTTCAATTTTGCTCCAGCTTTTTTCTTTTACCTTGAAGATTTACACTTGGCAACCAAGACTCTTGGTGCAGAAAGTGCTGAAATAAAGACCAGCTGACTAGAGATTTAAAGTCCCAG